TCACGCTGCTTCATGCAGACACGCCAGGCGGCACGTGTCGGACAGATTCATGCAAAGAGCATGACACCAAGGCGCTGCCCTTCCATGCTGATTATAGCCCTTTGTGCGGCCCCCTGCCCCCTGCTCAGCAGCCAATTAGACTTGGAAATAGCCTTCCTGCCGACTGCACAGCGCCGGGACGGCTCCTTTGTGCAGCAAAGGCCACAACATTAAATGCAAGACAATCACCGTCCCCTCCCCCCATCCCATCCCCTTTCCCTCCCGCTCCCCGGCACAAACCTCCTGAGCTCACTAGGCCTTCAGCTGCTGCAAGGCTGGTACCAGGGCGCCGGCTGGGCCCTGGGCTCTCCCGAGCAGGCTGCTCCCCTCTGGAGCACAGGGATCGGTCGGGTGTCACTAGGGTGGCACTGGCTGATTGCTGGAGCGTCCTGTGCAAAGGAATCCGAAAAGAAAGCCAAAGTCCAACAGAGTCCGGTTCGGCCCCATCCTCCAGGCCATTCCCAGCTGCTGTTCCAGCGTATCCGATCCTGTCCAGGCCCATCACCCTGGCATCTGAGCACCTTCCAGCAATGCTGCTGCAAGCGGCCTGGTGCTTTCCCCTTCCAGGTGAATGGGAGGGGGGCACCTAACCCATGTTCCACTAGGGGTAAAGCTTTACCTGGAGGCATGTCTGGTAGCCCGAGAGCAGGCCATTCCCCAGGGAATGTGATGGGGGTGGGGGAGGGGGGAGTTAGAAGGTTATTAGACCAGAGGGCTGCTGTAAGCCACCCTGGAGAGAAAGCCACATCCAGCTGCTCGAGCAATGACCGTCTCCCCCACTGCGCAATGCTCCCACTCGTCTGTTCCATTGAAAGACAGCGATGGAGGCCTCGGGGAATCCACCCCTAGTGACAGTGGGATCCAGGCAGGGAGCGGAGCGAGCCGTGGGGTGGAATTCCATGTGTGTTCCTTCCCAGCTGCTGCGGCTGCAGCCTGAACCAAGGCAGGGCTCCGGGCTATGGGGACCATCTAAATCACAGATCCGGCCCCTCCCAAGCCCAGCCCTCCAGGCCTGGATTAACCAAGCACGCTCTGGGATCACTAGCACAGGGTCCCATCTGAGGGAGGCCCTGAACCACTGGATTGGGGCAGGTGGCATTGTGACCTGGGGCACGGGGTCACAGTGCCACTCGGGTTTGGCCCAGCCACCCCTCCGTCTTGGTGGAGAGGGGGACCAAATTTGACCAAAGGTGGGGAGGGCTGATTTCCATAGTGCACAGGGGCCCAGAATTCTTTGAGCCAGCCCTGGCCCCCCGTAGGTCAGCCTCACAGGTGCCACACCAGCTCTCCTAAGTGGCAGCCCCATGTGGTGAATGGCCCCATCCTCTCACACAGCAGCTTCTGAGCCCTAAGGAGGGTGAAAGCCAGGCAGGGCGGTGAGCAACAGGGCCGCCAGGGGGGCTGTAGGTTTGTGAGCTCCTGGGGGCAGGGACCTGCCATGGTCCAATCCATAAAGCCACCCCGCTGAGCTGCAGAAGAGGGGCCTGGGGCTGATCAGGGGAGGGAGAGAGAAGGCAGGCGGGCTGGGGATGCAGGGGACACGTTTCTGCATTCCCTTAGGGAGAGCCGCTCGGGGGCAAGGGCACTTTGGGTCACACAGCAGCACATGGTCTTGGGGACCATCGGAAACTGTTCGGCGAGCGACACCTTGTGGGCATTCCAGGGAACAGCTTCTTCAGCAGTATTCCCCCGCCGTCCCTGCAATGCCTGGAGCCGGGCTCCTGGAGGCTCAGCTGTTTCATTTCTCCAGCACACAGCCGGAAAACTCACCCACAAAACCAAATGACAGTCCTTGCCCATTGCCCCAGGCCGTCTCCCATCCTGCATTCCCAATGGCTGGGCTCCTAGCTTCCCTCTCCTTGGCGTTTGCCCCCTACCATTATTCTTGTTTGCTTCCCTCTCCTTGGTGTTTGCCCCCTACCATTATTCTTGTTTGCATACAATCCCTCACACGGCTCTGTATCCTGAAAGAAATGAGTGCAGGCCTGAACCGGACACACAACTAGAGCCTGGATCCACCGTCCAACGCTCCACCTCCGGGACTGTCTGTCACTCTGATGGACTTCCCATGCCATGGCACCGCTCCGTGCCTTTAATAAAGTTCGGACTTTCCCCCTGAGAATCCCCTGGGGGATGGGGCCCAGGTTTGTGCCAGTTCAGCCCAAGGCCTGAATTTCAAACATCTGAGGTCACTAGCTTACACTACAATCTGCTTTCTAAAGCCTCCCAACGGGTTGGAGCCTCTGAATGGTACTTGCAACGGTGACCACACAATCCTGAGAGGGAGCAGATGTCACCACTGCTTCTACCCAGTGTGATGGTGTGTGTATGCACCACTGCCCTCTCCTGGCTGGACTCGAACCTGCTCCACTGTGTGTCCTGGCCCCAAGAATGCTGGTCCAGATTCTCCTTTTGGATTGGAGCTGAGTTTTATTTCCCACTGTCGCCCAGATGTTTTGAGTAGCCACAACACATGCAGCGTGGCATGTTCCCAGCTGGCAATGGATTTGGTACCAGTATGGAATCCTTCCCCCAGGATTCTGCCCCAGGGCATGAGGAGTTCGTTGAAACAGGATTAGAAGAGGCTGTTGCTGCAGATCTGAGACCCCTCCTGGTCCCCATTTCACCCAGACCCTTCAGCTCATCCTCCGCCTCTCCTACTGGATGCTCACAGATCCTGCTGGGGACACTGGACCATGATGGGGCAGTATTGTGAGAATTTAACTCCTAATCCCTGCCCCATCCTCCTCCCAAACCCCACACATTTGACCCTAAGCAGAGGCCTACAATAGCCAGGCTGCTGCTTGGTCCAAGGAGACCTGCCCAGTGTGTTACCATAGTGCCCGGCTCTGTGCTGTCCAATATGTCCATGCCACATGTCAAAGGGTCCATCCGTTTTTTCTCTGGTCTGTTTTATTACTTAGCCCTACTGTTCTGGCCCATTAGCACAATCCAGGGGCCTTGCTCCAGGCACCAGCATGCACAGGAGAGAAAGCAAATTCACCAAATTCACTCAGGGGAATTCACCAAAGGGCTCTTTAGAAGTTGCAACACAATCAAAGTAACAAACGTGCTGACACAAAACTGACCTGAACCAAGGAATTCATCCTTATCTGGTGTGTGAGACAGCAAGAGCAAGCGAGTCTAAACCGGGGTTGCGTGAAGCATGGGTGACCCAATGCAAAGAAACAAAAAAAGGGAGAGGGAGTGTTGTCTAGTGATTAAGGCACAGGGCTAGGAATCCACTCTCTGCTCTGCCACTGCCTTCCTGTATGATCTTGGGCACGTCTCAGGACAGCTATGTGCCTCAGTTTCCTCATCGGTGGCATGGGGAAAATGCCCCCACCCCCTACAGAGGGCGTTGGGAATGTTCATTAATCGCTGGGTGTGAAGAATGGTGAGGTTCTCAGGTGGAAGGTACAAAGGAACTGCCCAGAACGTCTGCGCAGGTCTCCAGTTCTGCCTTCGATTAGCCATTTCCCGCCCATGCCTCTGCAGGTCTTCTCCCTGCTGGCCCAACACGCACCACGTGTCCTTGTCTCCCTGCAACCACCGCGATCCCTCCCGGGGGAGAGAACTAGGAGAATCAGCCACTCCAGACTCCTGTAAAATATGAGAACGTCAGACATGTCCCAACTGCGTGGGGGGGGGGGGAGAAGGAGGGAAAAGGTGAGCAGTCCTGACCCCCGGCTCGAGTCACTAACCCCAGCCAGCTCCCAGCCAGCATGAGGCCTCTTGTTCTCAGTGGCACTGGGGCAGGAGCCATAAGCACCATCTGGCCACGCCGGGTGCCCCTGACGTCGGTGGGGTGGTGGGGAGTCTGGGGCTGCAGTTCTGGCAGCATTGCCTGAACCAGCAACCCAGGATCCCCGCATCTCCAGGGGGCCTGCTCAGCGGCTCTGCTCCCTGCAGGGTTCTGGGCCCGGCTTGGCAGGGCAGGCTGAGCTTGGGGTTCTGCTGGGGAGGAGCAGATCAAGGCCAGAGAAAGGGCGACTGACTCAGCTCTTCTGGAATAGGCAGGCTCTGGTTTCAGGGTGGAGCTGCGGGCAGCACGTCAGACATTTGAATTCACCTGCCTTACTCCCAACTTAGCTCCTCCTGGCATCGCATGCGGCCTCTGTTTGTTCCGTGATAAACTCCGACTCAGGCTGGAGCTGGGGAAGGGGCCTGCATTGTCCTCGTCCAGCTGCCGGGAGGTAGATCGGGGGTGGCAGCCTGCAGGGCCCCCTCCAATGGAAAAGGAAGTTGCCAGGACCCAAGCTTTGGTACAACCCCCAGGATCATTGATCAGCTGCCTTTGTGGGCCCTCTGCCATTCTCCAGGGTGCAAGGTAAGGGAGCCCATCTCTCCCCTTTGTCTCAGGGCTGGCGAGGGGCCAGGGGAGTAGGAAGGCCATGCATTGCCAGTCCAGGGCTGCATCTCACCCAGTTTCTTGGCTCCAACAGTGGCCAGTGGCCTGAGTGAAGCCAGCGGGAGGCAGTGAGGAGATAACTGCCTGCAGGGGTAGCCTCTTCCTGGCCTCCTCATAGCTCTGAGGCCAGAGAGTTCACAGCCTTTGCAGAATGCCATGTCCTCTCTCCTGCAGCTGGGGCGGCCCTCATTCTCACTAGAAATGCCCAGCCCTGTTGGGAGGGCCTAGCTCCAGCCCCAGTGGGATCCTGTGGCCTGGAGTTCCACAGGGTCAGCACTGTGTGCTTGGCTTGTTGAGGGTCTCAAGCCAGCTGAATAAAATTTGCCCCATAAAACGCTTGGTCAGTTTGTCTTTCTTCCACCTTCCTGAGGGACTTTCAGAGCAGTCCTGTGGCCGCCGGGGAGCGGGGTGGAGGGGAGCAGGGCTATACGGAGTGGGAGGGGCCCGGGGCTGGAGTCAACTGACCCTGAGGAAGTAGCAAAGCCCCCCTTCCCCCTCTTTCCTCCCCAGAGGCAGCCTGGCTCCATTCTCTGGGTCCCTGCCAGGCCAGAGTGGCCGGCGCTGGCCAAGCGATGGCGCTGCTCACCCACCTGCTGGCGTGCGTCTTCGGGATGGGCTCCTGGGCAGCCCTCAATGGCCTGTGGGTGGAGCTGCCCCTGCTGGTGACCAAGCTGCCTGAGCAGTGGTACCTGCCCTCCTACATCACCATCATCATCCAGCTGGCCAACGTGGGGCCGCTGCTGGTCACCCTGCTGCACAGGTTCAAGCCCGGCCTGCTGAGCGAAGTGGCCATCATCTATGGCATGGTGATCGTGGGAGCCCTGGCCTGCCTGCTCCTGGCCTTCCTGTGGGGTTTTACCTCCCCCGTCGCTGGGGAGCCGCACAGCACGGCCTTCTTTGGCCTCGCCTTCTGCCTGGCGCTGGTGGACTGCACCTCCTCAGTCACCTTCCTGCCCTTCATGGCACGGCTGCAGCCCCGCTACGTCACCACCTTCTTCATGGGGGAAGGGCTCAGCGGGTTCCTCCCAGCCCTCGTTGCCCTGGCCCAGGGCGCCGGCATCACCAAGTGCATCAACGTCACCCGGGTCGCCAACGTAACCATGGGCAACAACACCTCCGAGGGAAGCCAGTTCCAAATGGAGACCCAGTATCTCCCAGCCAACTTCTCCACCCTGGTCTTCTTCCTCCTCCTGACCGCCATGATGGTCGCCTGCTTGGTAGCCTTCTTCTTCCTCACCAGGCTGCCCAAGGCGTGGGAGCTGTCAAGACAAAACTTGTGTCCTAGTAACATCACCCTCTACTCACTTCAGGAAGCCCCTGGGGATGGGCCCAGGCTATCTGCAGGAGGAGACTCCCCAAGGGGAGGAAAGGCAGCTGGCTCCGACAAGGGATCCCATCGTACAGACCCAGAGGTTACCTACTCTCTGGCCAAGTTTGCCTTCATCTACCTCCTTGTTGCCTGGGTGAACTCCCTAACCAACGGGATCCTGCCATCCGTGCAAGCCTATTCCTGCTTGCCCTATGGCAACATGGCCTACCACCTCTCTGCAACCCTGAGCTCCATGGCTAACCCGCTCGCCTGCACCATTGCCATGTTTCTGCCCAGCAGGTAGGTGCATCCACAATGCCCTCGGCAGCACAAACAGCCCCTGATTTACAACTCCCACAGTGAGCCGGGTTGTGCGACACCCGAACCCACAGGGGCTCCTCACCCATCCAGACGGTTCAGCACCCCCTCATGGACACTGAATGCCACCGACGGGAATCAGGGCCGCTGAGACAACCCCTCGCCAGCCACACACCGGCTGCATACGTAGGGACCATTGGCCAGGAGGGGCAGTTATGGGAGTCTAGAGTTAGGCTCCTGAGTCTGTACCTAGGCGTCCGTAAGTGCCTTGATTTCCCCCCGGGTTTGCTCAGCACTTCAGCAAGTCAGAGTGTGGATTTAGGGCAGAGCTGAATGCTAGGCCACCAGGTTTGGAAATCGGGGTCATTCCTGGGGACAAATGGCTCTCCCAGCTCCACTCACTGTCCCAGACGCATCTCTGGGGCTTTCCAGGTCTCCAGGGGAGTGAAACGCAAACCGATACAAACTCAGTTCCTGTGGTTCACTCCCTTGGCAACCGAGGAATATTACAGACACACTTCCCCTGCCCTGGGCCATGCCCTGCCATCTCCAGTTCTGAGCTCTCCTCTTGCTAAGCCCAGGGGAGAGGTGGGGATCGCAGACCCAAAGGGCAGCTGGCTCTGGCTGGGAAGCCCTTGCTGACCCTGGTACCTGTGTGAGCCGCAGGTCACAGCCCAGTCAGCAAAGCAGCAGAGGTATTTACTGCTTCAGGAAAGACACCCCCCCCCCCCGAGAAATACCAGGGGAGTTTGTTTGTCCCCTTAACCCTTTGCTCTCCTGCCTGCAGGCCCTCGGAGCTGCCCAGATGTCGGACAGGCAGACCGAGGCAGTTCTCAGTCTCCATGCAGTGGGCAGGACTCGTCCATGTCTGGGCCCAGCAAGTTCTGGGAGCTGTAACTCCAGCAGACTTTGCAGGGCAGGGTGGGCTGAGCCGGGGCAGCTGTGCGGATGCCCGGCTGGGAGTCACTCTTTGTGTGTCTCACACAGGTCTCTGACCCTGCTGGGGGCGCTCTCCGTGGCCGGGACAGGATTTGGGGCCTATAACATGGCCATGGCTGTCATGAGCCCGTGCCCCCTCCTGCAGCACGCGGCTTGGGGGCAAGCTATCATTGTAAGTAGCTGGCGCTGAAGTCTCCCCCCACCCCCGGTCTCTGGAAGGTCTTTGCTACCGTCCCTTCTGTTTCGGCTCCAAGATCCCGCACCGGTGCCTTCCCCTTCTCCCCCGCTCTCAGCCTGTCCCCACTCCCAGCCCCCATCCCTGTCCAAACGGCTGCTGCCAGGAATCTGCGACCCAACCCGGGGATTCTCTTTCTGTTCTGACAGGTCATCTCCTGGGTGTTCTTCATGGGGAGCCTCAGTTACGTGAAGGTGATGACCGGGGTGATCCTGCGGAGCCAGAGCCACAGCGCCCTCGTGTGGTATGGGGCAGTAGAGCAGCTGGGGTCTCTGACGGGGGCCCTCATCATGTTCCCCCTGGTGAACGTCTATAGCTTCTTCAAATCTGCTGACTATTGCAGCCTGCAGTGTCCAGCGTGAGCCTGGGCCAGGGGAGGTGCTCTGGGGAGGAGCTGTGGCAAGGGACTTGCTGGCCAAGGACATCACTGACTCCAGTGACTTCCATACTGGGCATAAAACACCTCCGCCCCGATCTCGTGAGCTTGATGGATGTCCATGCTGCAGCCCATATTCTCCAAACACTGCATGCCAAAGCACACCCCAACCAGTCATGCAAACAGTGCTGGCTCCAGGGCCGACGCCCACTGTGCTTTGGCTGCACAAGGACAATGGACCCACACAGCTGAACGGATGCCACAGCTGCCCCTCAAGCCCTCCCTGACAGGCTAGGGGAGTGGTGGTTTCTCTTGGGAAGTTTAAAGCAAAACGGGTCAGTGCACGTGATCTGGGAGGAAGCAACTAGCTCTCAGCTCTGCCCAGTGCATGGACAGATTGTACTCAAGGGGTCTCTTGTGCACAGCGGAGTCCCCCTACAAAACACAGTGTATCCATCTCCATCCAGCGTGGCTGGCAGGCTCTGGATGGAGCATTCCCCACATCTCGATGACCCAGGGCATCAGTTCAGGTGCTGTACCCAGTCTGTGCGCTTTCTGGGAGGCAAGTGACTCTCTCCTTGTTCCAGCTCTGCTCAAGCCTGACATCTGGTTGCGCACATTGACTCTGCTCCCCGTGGCGTGCCCTGGGTCTGTGTCATCTGCCTTGATAAAGCAGCTGAAGTCAACTTTTATTTTTCCCGATTGAGTTAGATGGATCACTTCTTCCTTCTTTCTCTTCCCATCTCCTCCTGTCCCAGTTCCCTTTCATCTGAAATTTTACTGAGTGGTTTCCATTCTATCATTCTGAGACACTCATAACATTCCTGCTGGAGTTTAGGGAACTATAGAAATCATAGAAACGTAGGGCTGGAGAGGAGCTCGAGAGGTCATCTAGACCAGGCCCCTGGGCTGAGACAGGACCAAGTAAACCTCAACCATCCCTGACAGGTGTTTGTCCCACCTCCTCTTAAAAATCTCCACTGACGGAGATTCCACAACCTCCCTTGGAAGCCTGTTCCATAATTAAACTACCCTTAGAGTTAGAAAGTTTTCCCAATATCTAACCTAAATCTCCCTGCCTGCAGACTAAGCCCATTTCTTCTTGTACTACCTTCAGTGGCCATGGAGAACACCTGGTCACCGTCCTCTTTACACTGGCCCTTAAAACTGTTCTCAGGTTCCCCTCAGTCATCTTTTCTCAAGACGAAACCTCCCCAGTTTTATTAACTTTTCCTCACAGGTCAGGTTTTCTCAACCTTTGGTCATTTTTTTTGCTCTCCTCTGGACACTCTCCGGGTTGTCCACATCTCTCCCAAAGTGCAGTCCCCAAAACTGGGCACAGGACTCCAGCTGAGGCCTCCCCAATGGCAAGTAGAGCAGGACAATGACCTCCTGTGTCTCACATGTGACATGCCTGCTAATACACCCCAGAACGGCATTAGCTTTGCCCTTTTTCACAACTGCAGCACAGTGCTGACTCATTCAAACAGTGAGCGACTGGAACCCCCGGCTCCTTTTCAGCAGGATGATCACCTTGCTGGCTATTCCCTGGCTGTTACTTTGTAGTTGTACATTTGATTTTTCCTTCCTATGTGTAGTACTTTGCACTTGTCTTTATTGAATTTCATCTTGTTGATTTCAGACCAATTCTCCAATTTGCCATGGTCATTGTGATTTCTAATCCTGTCCTCCAAGGAGCTAGCAACCCCTCCCAGCTTGGTGTCATCTGCACATTTTATAAGCACGCTCTCCACTGTATTAGCCAAGTTGTTCATGAAAATATTGAATAGCACCAGAACCCCGCGGGACCCCACTAAATATGCCCCCCCCCACCCAGTTTGACAGTAGACCACTGATAACTACTCTTTGAGTATGATCTTGCAACCAGTTTTGTACCCATTTTATAGTAATTTCATCTAGACCACATGTCCCTAGTTTGCTTAAGAGACTGTCATGTGGGACTGTGTCAAATGCCTTACTAAAATCAAGATACCTCATGTCTACAAGCTTCCCCCATCCACTAGGCCAGTAACCCAGTCAAAGAAGGAAATTAGGTTGGTTTGGCATGATTTGTTCTTGAAAAATCCATGTGGGCTATTCCTTACCACCCTGTTATCCTCTAGGTACTCACAAATGGATTGTTTAATAATTTGGTCCAGTATCTTTCCAGGTATCGAATGGAATGTCTCTCTTTTTCAAGAGAGGTGTCAAAGTGGGAACCATTTCCTCAAACTTGTCAGATAAATTGAGATCGGGAACCAGATCAGACCAGGAGCTGTGCAATCTCTGCAATTCCCACCTTATGGGGCAACAACAGTGAAATTCGGAGCTTGGAATCTTTAATTTGCAAGATTATTGGCGCAGACAGACACTGTGTGCTGCCCCCTTGGGGTCAGGCCTGTCTCTGCTTGGACTTAAAGCACATACGCCTGTCCCAAAAGCAGCCCAAACAATTCCATCTCCTCTTTGAACACATCCGTCCGAGAGCCAGAACAGAGGGGAAGACTCCAGACTGCCACAGGCTGGGAGCTGTTCAGAGCTATGTTGCTAGCTAAGCTGAGCCAGGATGGACAAGTAGCAGGATAGAGACCTCTCAACCGAAAAGCCTAAGTGATGCTAGTGGTATTCCTCTGTAAATCCCATTCAGAGTAAGGAATGCTTAGGGTTAATGGATGGCATGATGTGGATGGTACCAGCTGCAGATGAGATGGAAAAGTCAGGCCTTGACCCCCTGTAGCCACTGAAAAGCCCAATGTATTTGCCAACCCTGGCATCCTGGCCAGACTCCTACCTGGGTGTCATTCCTACCTAAACTCCCCTCTCGTTTCAATGGGATATATTCTTCTTCTTCACTTCCTGTCCTGAACTCTAGCGTAGTGTTGTTGGTATTGTTATTTCCCACCCCAGACGTGGCTGCATTTCTCTGGCATCATTTGTAATTCTGTGGAGCGCCTTAAATTTGTGAAAGGTGCTGTCTAGACCGGTACTCCCCGCCCCCAGGTACTCCACTCCCCTGAGTCGCACTGCATCTGCCAGGTGAAAACCAGCTTCAGCCGGTTCTGGCATGGCCACGTTGTATGGGGTGAATCCAGCCCTGCCAGGAGCTGCATCCCACAAACATCCCTGTGCAAAGGACAAGGTGACTGATACACAGGGCAGCCCTGTGCCAGTCATGCCAGGCACTTGCAAGAATCCTGTAGGTTTGTGAGCATAAGGGAGAGGCCTTCCTGACTCTGAATAGGACATGGGCTTTGCATACAGCGCTCCGCTGCGGATCTTCACCCTGACTGGGACAACCTCGGTACCCACAGCGCAGCTTGTTCCACCAGGCGTCACTGCAGCCCGAGAGAGCAGAGAGAGAAGGCAGAGGTGGGCTGGTCAGGCCTAATGCTGGTTGTCCCAGCTACAACGCTGGGTACGGAGGTCGAGCAGGGTGCAGGCCTGCAGGAGAATAAATGGCCATTGCCACCTTGGGCTAGGGCCTGGCTGGATTTGCAGCTAAGCTGGGCCAGGGCCAGTCAATTCTTGCATGGGACACTGCTAAGGAAAGTGATATTGAGTCCCAGATGATCCAATGCCCTGGTCTGTGTGTTCAGAGGGCCCACAAATGAGCCTGGGATCCTGGTCATTCAAGAGCTCACCCGAGCCCCATGCCCTGGCTCCAGTACCGGCAGGTCTTTGCCTTTTGAATGGCATATATTTGGACCTCTTCCCGTCCTGTCCCAAACACTGTTGCTGGGAGATCCTACCCAGAGCTGGCTGCATTTTAGCCCCCAAGGAAGCGGCCCCTTACAGCTCCCAGTGTGTAGGGCACCTCGGGGAGCAGCTCTTCTGGGAGCGAGGTAAAGGCCAGGGGCCTGACAGAGCTGCAAATGAGGGGTGCCCCGATAGCGCTGTGCTGGTGGATGGGAGAGGAGAGCCAAGTTCAGGGGCTTAATTAATCACGTCTCCCCCGATCCGCGAACCTTCCTTGTAGCCCACATGCAGGAGGCCAGAAAAAGGTCAGCTGTGACTGCAAGGGAAGGGGCACTTAACGCCCCAGGTCCTGCTGTCGGAGCACGTGGGGGGGCCGAGCGCTGGCAGCAAGCCCTGCCCCTGTGCCCCTGCCATGCTGGGTTGTGTGAGAGCCTTTGCCCAGCGGCTCATCCCCTGGAACCCATCCTTCCTCAGTCAGCTGGAGCATGCACACGTTAATTCTTTCATGGTTGATCTGCAGCATCTTCAGTCCTCCGGGAATGAGGCGCGGAGGGGCATCCCTTCCCCTCCCCCAACATGGGCAGCCTCGCCCCGGCGTGCAGCTGTTCTACCGCCGACTCCCCCACCCCCCTGATGGCGCACGGACGCCCTGCTCCTTGGAAAGGGGGAGAGGGAGCCAGACAATGGCGGAGGGAGCCCTGTCCCCCCCCGCAGTTAATCACAATTAGGGAGCGGGGTGTCAGCTGCATTGCTCAGATCATCAATCACGGGGTGTGGAGGAGAGTTGGCAGAAGCAGCAGCCCCAGCAAAGGGAGACACAGGGTGACCCAGTTACCATAGGAGCAGTGCAGCAGCCAGGAGATTGCTGCTCACAGGATCGGGGGCGGGGGGGAGATGGAAGGGCCCCCACCTCGCCACACAGTTGCACCAGTCTCTAATGAGCCTGGGCCTGGAGGCAGCTGGGGGAGGGGGGTCAGCAAGTGTTCCTCCCCCAGCGGGATGTACTGGCAGAGAAATCCTGCCGCAATGCCCCCAAACACAGGCAATGGCTGTGCACCCCCCGCACCCCCTGCCTGTGTGCAGCTGTCTGCTCTTTTGGCTAGGCGTGGCTGTGCCCCTTGCCCAGCGGGCCCCTGGCGGGGGCCGGGAAATGCTACTGCCCTACAAACGCTCAGGATGAATTGGAGGCGAGGGCCCCATGCCAGCCGCTTCCCCAGCAGCACACAATTCCCTTCCAGCAAAAAGCAGGCACCGGCTGTGCAGGCGGGTTTGCTGGCTGCCCGGAGCACGCACCCAGCAGCGTCCCAGGGAGCAGG